ACTTCTTACTGATTTTTGGGCTAATTTCAGACAATAGGAACATAAATATGCAAACTTTAAACATCCTCACACAGGATACAACTCCCTAAATTGCTTACTACTGGGCCTCATCCAGAGTGCTACAGAGTCAAGAGAGTGTGGACAATGGTGAGGCAGCAACAATTCTTAAGTCATCATTTTTAGGAAGAAACACATGAATTATAGAACATCATAGGGGGCCGGGGAGATAGCTCAGCAGCATAAGCACCTGCCTGGCAAGTGCAAGGTCCTGAGTTCAATCCCTAGTATGGCAAACAAAACAAAACAAAACACAACACAACACAACACATGTCATAGAACCCATAAATTCAGAAATGCAGCATATGATTTCCACCTTAAAACACAAGAGATGAAAAATTTGTTTCAGACTAAATTTTACTAGATACATGTAGTCAAGTAACAAAAGCTTGACTACAAAACCCCAAACAAAATATCAAAATCATGGTTGAAATGTGCAACTGAACAGGTTCATTATTTAGTTACTGCCCTATCAGGGGAAACAAAATATGTATTTCTTACAAGTTGGGGATTTTGAAGTTGGCCACTAAACAGTTCAAACCATAGGACCCTAAAATGCTTAGGACCTATACTACAGTTCCTAAGGGCTAAGAATAACAAAGAGCATAAAAGTACAGTGCTCCAGGTTGTAGACATAATGGTATAATTATTGAACAAATATGCAATCAGCATACTGGAAAAGTATCCAATAACTGAAAATTTTAAAATTCCTGTTAAAGTTATTTCTAAGCACTAAGATTTACCTGTCCAAGGAAAAAAAAACTTAAGGACATTTCATACACAGAAATGGAAATCTTAGCTGGGCATGGTGGTGCACACCTTTAATTCCAGACAAGGCTGAGGCAAGATCATCACAAATTTGAGACTGGCCTGGGCAACCTTGTCTCAAAATTTATTTATTTATTTATTCTTTCAAAATTAAAAAAAATTAAAATTAAAAATAGTTGGGCCGGCCAAATAGCTCAGCACATTAAAGTGCCTACAAGCAGGAGCAGAGGCGTGGGGTTTGATCCCTGGGCATGCTGTGCTGGCCCTGCCCCTGGGGGCTCCCTGAGTTGGCAATTAAGGCAATTAAGACTGGGCGTGGTGGCGCATGCCTGTAATTCCAGCTCTTGGGAGGCTGTAAACTTAATCATTACCAGTCCGATTTAGTAGTGAAACCCTGAACACCCTGTAAACCCTTCCCTAAAATACAAAAATAAATTTAAAAAAATAAATAAAAATAGTAAAATAAAGGGCTAGAGTTATAGCTCAGTGAAAAAGTACATGCCAGAGATTAGGCGTGGTGGCACGCACCTGTAATCCCAGCTCTTGGGAGACTGTAAACAGATGGATCACTGAGTTCGATCTAGTAGTGAGACCTTCAACACCCTGAGACCCTTCTCCAAAAATACAAAAGAAAAAGTACATGCCTAGTATGGGCAATAACCGGAGTTCAATCCTCAGCATAGTAAAATCCAAAAAACCATACCCCCCCAAAAAAAACCCCAAACAAATATTAACTATTTTTGTATTGCAAGCATAGATAATTAACATAGAAAAATATTTTTTGAAACAGTATCACTTTGGAGTTCAGGCTACCCTTGAACTCATCATGTGGCCCAAACTTGCAGCAATCTTCCCGCTTCAGCCTCTCAAGTGCTGGGACTACAGGCATGTGCCACCATGCCTGGCAGATATTCTTTTTTTCTTTCTTTTTTTTTTTTTTTTGTGTGTGTGTATTTTAGGGAAGGATCTACAGGGTGTTCAGAGTCTCACTACTAGATCACACTGGTAGTGATCCACCTGTTTACAGCCTCCCAAGAGCCGGGATTACAGGTGCACAACCACACCCAGCCTCCTGGCAGAAATTCTTTATGAAAAAGTTCGGATTGTTATTCATTAATGAAATGTAGACAATCTAAATGGTATGCAATGGAAATTATATATAAATAATTTTATATTTATATATAAAGAACACACATATATATCCATACATGTTATCAGAAAACAGGCATATTTATAAATTTTTCTTTTACAGTTTTGAGTCTTTTCCCATTAGGAAAAAAATAAACTTAGAAGATAATTGGATTACAAAGAAAATGTTCAGTCTTAGGCTCTTGAAAGCTCCTTAAGAACTTAGTTATATTACTATGCCCTGTATCTCGGAGTTATTATTTTACTATATATACTGTGAAAGTGGAGGAAGGTATCAAGTCCAAATCTTTTTGGCCTGGATGTTTAAGCCAGAACTACATACTTTTGAGAAATTTTGCCACTGGCAGTCAAGTAATATAAGGTAGTGGATATGCTCTAGGAATCCTTAAAACTCTTATTAGAGGAGTCAGTGGGCTTTGGCCCAAATTCCTTTTGGAGGCTGAATCTTGAAAGATAAATTTAGACGTGATGATTAAAGAAACTGAAAGTGATGTGTACTATACTATACCTTAACTTTTTTAAAAAACCAAGTTTTCTGATTCAAAATAAAAAGCTACATGATATGGACTACTTCACTGATACTCAGGCATTATAAAAAACAAACATCTAAACAATATAACAACATGGGAAATACCGAGTCTGAAAATCACTATTATACTGCTGCATCTGTTTATCTTAAGTATGTTTCCTACATGTGGGAAAGAAAAAAACCTGGTAAAAAAATTCTATTTATCTTACTAGATGGGTTTGAGATTATGAATAAAATTCTCACAAGTATTTGCTTACCACTACCCACTAACACAAACTTTTGCTTTTGAGAGATAAACTCTAAGAATTTGCTACATGCCAGTGGGAGTAACAGTTTTATGTATTTTAAAATTTTCTGAAAGTATGGGATTAAAAAAACATAGCCACAAATACCTTTAAATATATAGTCCCTTACAAAATACTGAATCTTAGTCATGTGATTCTTTTGAAATCATCTAATTCAAAAGCTTCATTGAAGAATTGGGAGTTTAAGGGTGGGTAAATAGAGTGACTATGATCAAATTACATTTCTTTTTCTTTTTTTTAAATTTAATTTATTTATTTATTTATTTATTTATTTATGTGTG